TCCACCGGATATGAGCGTGATCATGTTTGCTCCTTAACCGTTTCTCGTTCGTGGCTAAGCCATCCGATCGACTTGTGTTACCTGTTGAGACAAGTTTTTCTATGGAAATAGAGAACGAGAACATCCCACGCAAGAATTTAGTCAGGCAAGTAAGCCGAGCGATGAAATTATGTAAAATGGACAAGCTCTTAATCTTCACTATAGCAAACAGTTGTTTAGCTCTTCTCCTGCTTTTTGTAAAAAAGGTTTAGTGCATTCCGACCCTTTCCATAGTTAAGGTCATAAAAGCTCAGAGTGCAGGTGATCCAGCTCTGATCACGCTGGTGAGCAAAGGCGCCGTAGCCGCTGGGGCATAGGTTTCTCGTAGTCTAACCAGTTATACTCAGAGTTTGTTCCCAAAAACCTAGCTCCTAGTCATTAACGTGAGAAAAGGGGGTAGGCACTGAGAATATTTGCAGGGTAAATATACTCATATCAGCCCCCGAGTGAGGCCTGACCCCTTGCTGTTGCTAGGGTCGGATGTCACAAAGGATCAGGGGGTTTTGACAACGAAACTGATAAGAGAAAGTGTGCATTTATTAAGGGTAAAAGCGACGTAGTTGCTCGATGTTCTAGGCATTGGTGAAGATTTCGCCGTCAATGGTCCTGAGCTTGTAGGCGCCTGGACGAAATACCTCTACAACTACGTATGGTACCTCCCACGATGAGGAGAGCTTGTAGTGGTCCTTGTTGCTCTGTGCGAGGCAGAGGACTAGGTCTCCAACATTGAAGGCTCGACCCCGCACTCATCGGCTATGGTACCGTCGCAACGCCTATTGGTACTTGCCCGAGCGGAGGAGGGCAACATTGCGTGCTTCATCCAGCTAGTCCATGGCGTCCTCGTGGGATGCCCTAGCTCCCTATTCATCGTACGCCCTGATCCTTGGTGCTCCATAGTCGAGATCGATTGGGAGGACAGCCTCGGAACCGTAGACCATGAAGAAGGGTGTGTAGCCAGTGGCTCGACTGGGGGTAGTCCTCAAGCTCTAGAGTACTAAAGGAAGCTTGATGACCCAGCGTGCGCCAAACTTGTTCAACTAGTTGAAGATCCTAGGCTTGAGGCCCTATAGAACCATGCCGTTTGCGCGCTCGACCTGCCCGTTCGTTCGGGGGTGCGCGACGGCGGCCCAATCGACCTGGATGTGGTTTTCATCGCAGAATCGAAGGAACTTCTTTCCGGTGAACTACGTGCTGTTGTCCGTGATGATGGAGTTTGGGACTCCAAAGCGGTGGACGATGTCGACGAAGAACAGCATGCCTTGCTCGAACTTGATCGCGGAGATCGACCGAGCTTCTATCCACTTTGTAAACTTGTCTCTGGTGACAACCAAGTGGGTGTAGCCTCCGGGCGCCCTCTTGAGAGGTCCGACCAGATCGAGCCCCCAGATCATGAATGACCACGTGATAGGGATTGTCTAGAGTGCTTGGGTCGTTAGGTGAATCCACCGAGCGTAGTACTGACACCCTTCGTAGGTGCGCACGATCTGCTCGGTGTCGGCTACAGTGGTGGGCCAGTAGAAGCCCTGTTGGAACGTGTTTCCGACCAGGGTTCTAGGCGTGGCATGGTAACCATAGATCCCACCGTGGATATCGCTCAGCAAACGCTTCCCTATTTAATGGGGATGCAGTGCCGTAGGATCCCGGTGTGGCTTCGCTTGTAGAGTTCGCCCTCCATAAGAGCAAAGAACTTGGCGCGACGTGCGAGTCGTCGAGCCTCTGTATTGTCCGTCAGTAGCATGTCACGGAGGAGGTAGTCGAGGTAGAGCGTCCTCTAGTCGACCAGAGGGTCAGGCCCTGTCGATGCGTCCTCTTCGAGCTCCATGACTTCGGGGCCGGACAGATCCGACGATTGGTCAGCTCCCGGGCCTGGATTGGACGGACCATCACCACCTTGTCCTGACCCCTTGTAGCGAACCGAGGGCTTGTGCTGGTCGCTGGTGAAGACGCCCGTCGGCACCGGCTCTCGGCCAGATGTTGCTTTCGCAAGCGCGTCAGCCGCCTCGTTGAGGCGCCTCGGGATGTGATTGAGCTCGAGACCGTCGAACTTGTCCTCCAACTGGTGAACTTCTCGGCAGTATGCGGCCATCTTGGCATCGTGGCAGCTTGACTCCTTCATGACTTGGTCGACGACCAGCTGGGAATCTCCTCGAACGTCGAGGCGTCGGATGCGCAACTCAAGGGCAATGCGTAGGCTGTTGATGAGCGCCTCATATTTGGCCACATTGTTGGAGGAGGGGAAATGGAGACGGACCATGTATCTCATGTGTACCCTAAGGGGCGACACGAAGACCAACCCCGCACCAGCGCCCTTCTTCATTAGTGATCCGTCGAAGTACATCGTCCAGTTCTCTTGATCGACGACTGTTGGTGGCATTTGGACCTCAGTCCATTCCGCGACGAAATCAGCCAACACCTGGGGCATTCGGGAGGCATACGCAATGCCCTGACCCATCAACTCAAGTGCCCATTTTGTGGTTCTTCCCGTGGCATCCTGGTTTTGGATGACCTCGCCAAGGGGGAAGGACGTCACGACTGTCACCGGATGTGACTCGAAGTAGTGGCGTAGCTTCCTCTTGGTGATGAGGATGGCATACAAAAGCTTCTGGATTTGGGGGTAGCGGGTCCTCGAGTCAAATAGTACCTCGCTGATGAAGTACATAGGGCACTATACTTTGAGGGTGTGCCCCTCTTCTTCCCGCTCCACTACCAGGGCTGCACTGACCACTTGTGTGGTGGCCGCAATGTAGAGCAGAAGGGGTTTTTCATCGGTAGGAGGAACCAGGATCGGGGCCTTCGTTAGAAGTAGTTTGACCATGTCAAGTGCCTCTTGGGCCTCGGATGTCCATTTGAAGTGGTCGGCCTTCTTTAGAAGTCGATAAAGGGGGCGACCTCGTTCGTCGAGGCGTGAGATGAAGCGGCTGAGTGCGGCGAGGCACCCTGTAACTCGCTGTACTCCCTTTATGTTCTGAATCGGGTCGATCCTTGTGATGGCTAAAATCTTCTCTGGGTTGGCTTCGATGCCATGCTCGGAGGCGATGAAACCAAGCAGCATGCCCCTCGGCACCCCGAAAATGCATTTTTCGGGATTAACATAGGCTTCAATGGTCCGCCCGATGAGGTCCCTAAAACACTTGAGCATACAACGCTGGTATGTAGCCCCAGCGTTCTTCAGACCGAATGGCATGGTGACGTAGCAGAACGATCCAAAGGAGGTGATGAAAGATGTCACGAGCTGGTAGGAATCTTTCATCGTGATTTGATGGTATCCGGGGTACGCATCAAAGAAGCAAAGGGTTTCGCACCCCGAGGTAGAGTCAACTATTTGGTCTATGCGCGGCAAAGGAAACGAATCCTTTGGGCACGCTTTGTTGAGACCTATGTAGTCAACACACATCCTCCATTTCCCACTCTTCTTTCATACAATAACGGGATTGGCTAACCACTCTGGGTGGTACACTTCCCTGATGAATCCGGCCGCCAAAAGCTTTGCGATCTCATCGATGGTCCTACGTTTCCCCTCGTCGAAGCGATGCAGGCGTTGTTTCACCAGCTTAAAGCCTGGGCGGATCTTCAAGGCGTGCTCGGCAACTTCCCTCAGAATGTCTGGCATGTCCGAGGGTTTCCATGCAAAGATGTCTCTGTTGGCGCGGAGGAAGTCGACGAGCGCGCTTTCCTATTTGGATGAAAGCGTGGCACCAATACGCACCGTTTTGCCCTCGGTGCTCCCGGGGTTTACGAGGACCTCCTTGGAGCCCTCCACTGGATCGCAAGATCATATCTAGCCTCTTCGCTAGAGACCCACTACATCGCAGCCAGATCGAACAGTGTGGACGACGCATGCCCCTACCCCCTCTTCTCTCACCTGCAATGAGGACGTTGGCCGCTATGTATTCATTTTGGTCCAACTTAAGATACTTTGACTCTCTAAAAAATTAAAATGATTTATAATTTAGAATAGATGGAGTATTAACTTAATAAATCTTTTGTTTAACATTTAGGGACCTAATTATCCCAAAAGAAGATTCAACTGTAAAGTTGTATACGTTGTCGATCACTACACAAACCCGGTTACCCAAACAAACTCTCAATGAAGCCCATTGACAGTCATCGTGTCGCGTGTCTCTTGTCCTAGTTCGCCACAGCCCAGGCGGTACGACGTGTACGATTGCTGGGACGGTGAGCTCGTACGACGATACGAGGAAGACCGGAGCTTAACCACAACACACGTGGGACAAAAAGGAAACGCCACGTGCCGCACGTTTTCCCCAACGGACAGCCTCACGTGCAGGTACTAGTACCATCGGCCTGTGCCTGTGCGCACGCGGTACACCGACGCGCACGGCACACGGACGTCGACGGGAGCGGGAATGGATCGATCCGCGCTGCTGTCGCCGGCCGTTGCCCGTCGGCGTGCCGTGCCGTGCAGTAGATACACAGATGGAGGAGACCAGAAGGGTCCAACCACGGCGTACGGTGACCGCTTCATCATCACCACCAGAATTCCGTTTCCGCACAAGCTGCCTGCGCTGCACTGCGCGCCGCCGTGCCGGGTTTTTCTTTTGCATTTGCAGGAGGAGACAGGCGCAGCCGGTCCCCTTGGATTTGGATGACGGTGACGCGTCAGTCAGAGAGGATTTTCACGTCCATCACTCCGTGGCTTTTGACCAAACGCCCTGGGATTGCGACGTGGACCTGGGAGGCTGCTGCTCCGTGGCTTCTCAGCTCGGCAGCCTCCTGTACCATCAACAGGACTGGACGAACACGAAATCGTCGTATTCCGACCCCGACCACTTACCCTACTCTCCTCACTCATCACAAACGCATCGTCGAGAAGTATATATCCGAACACTGGATTCGGTCATCGGTCGTATCCAAACCAACCGAAACAAGAAACCTCCACTACTTCCGTTGCTACCAGACTCCGCGATCCTATCCGGGCCACGTACGCGTCGCTCATGGTCATGGCGATCGACGACGGCGACCGGAGCTACCCGGCGTTCGCGGGGGACGACGGCGCCGAGAGCGCGAAATCCATCCTGGACCTGCCCGCGGACGTCCTGGCGCTCGTGCTCCGCCGCCTGGACGGCGCGTCGCTGGCCGCGCTCGGCTCCGCGTGCGCCGCCTTCCGCGACCTCGCCGCCAACCCGGCCGCCTAGCGCGCGCTCTGCCTCGCGCACTGGCCCTCGCTCCGCGACGCCGACACCGGCCACCACCACCACCACCATCAGCGCCTCTTCGCCGACGCGTTCCCGTTCCCGTTCCCCGCCGTGCCGGTGGCGGCACTGGCAAAGCCACCGACGCCCGTCGGCGCCGCCCATCGTCCCCGCCGAGCTTGAGCTCAGCTGGGTCCTCATCGACCCGGACTCCAGTCGCGCCGTCAACGCCTCCAGCCGCCGCCCCGTGTCCGTGGACCGGCGGTGGCTCACGGGGGAGACCGTGGTGCGGTTCGCGCTCGTCCTCGGCGGCGTCGTGCTGGACGCCGCCGTCACGTGCGACGAGCGGTACGGCCACGTCAGTGGCCGGGATGGGCTGGCCGTGGTGGCCGCGGCCATGGCGGGCGCCAGGCGGGGACGTGGCGCTGAAGATGACGCCAAGGCGCGGTATGAAGAGTTCGTGAAAGGGAGGGCGGACAGGAAGGAGCGGAAGGCCAGGCGGGAGGGCATCATCGACCTCTGCTGCTCCGGCGTTGGAGCGGTGGCGCTCCTGGGGTTCCTCGTCATGCTCACATTCCGGTGACCACCACGAGAGTGTACAGCACAACTGCACGAGCAGTGTAAATAGTGGAAAAAGGGAAAGAGAGCTATCGTTGACACGCAGACTCCACACAATACTTGTAAATATGTACATAGTGCAGTTTACAGGATACTACTGCATGTTTTTACAAGAATAGCATTTTAGACATGGGTCATCCGAGCTTACAACTTAGTCAGATGACTCATTAGTCGTTTCACTAATGTTGATGATAATGATAGTTCCTACGCTATCCTTACAAGTTCATATATTTACGAAATGGAAGCTGAGCTCAAAAAAAGTAACACCAATGGCTCGCTCCATGCGAGACTGCCACATGAATCTGTGCAAACTGATACTGTATGAAATTCCGTCGATTTTCAAACTCTAAAAAAAATGTTGATTTTGAAAATCTTCCATGCAAAATGTTAGACGGCACAGCCATCAGCCAATGTCCAGGAACCACCAAGGTAATTCACACGAAAAATATGGCATTTAAATTCCCTGCACAAGTCCTGTTTTACAAAATCCAGATGCCCCAGAACGGGCATCACGGAATCTAACATTCTTGGTACCCAGTTACATGAATACTATATGGCAATACAGTTATTTGGAAACCAGCAGGATAAATGCTTACAAGCACTGCTATAAGCACTCTACATTTGACAAGCTATACACAAGTTTCAAGAAATAAATAAATCATACAAAACTCATAAGAACAAAAACAAGGGGGCAATCTTTGTCGCGGCGAGCAGCTCCATAAGACTATCGTTGGTTTTTGATAAACTCCATACAGGCTAGTGAGCAGTCTACATGTGTGCATTTTGCAACTCACGGTATATCAAATCGATGAACTCGTCATTCTACATGTTGGACACAACAAGAGTTAAATCATATAGCAAATAAATATTGTTAAATTGCACAGTTTTATGCGAGGCATACCTGAACAAGTCTCTGGAGGGCATCCTTAACTTTATCCCTCGAAATAACAAGTGCATTGTGTGCAGGGGTCAGGGAAGGAGGTGGAGACGGTGGGGGGAAAGGTTGGAGTAAGGGAGTGCCATATGGAGGACGTTGAGCAGCTGTTGAAGTTGGACGAAGAGGCGGTGCTGTAGGCATCATGGATGAAGCCGGTGGTGCCACAGATGTTGAAGAAGGTGATGGAGGTGCAAAGAAAGCTGGTGTTAGAAGATTTGCAGAATGGCTGGCATGCGGATTTGTGTCATGGAGGGAAGTGGTGGAGCTGATGAACCCCTAAATGATGAGGTATTTGATGTGTTGGAGTAGCGGATGGAACAATCAGCGGCACATGGGAAGATGCGACAGCCTCCGTCGATGGATGTGCTCTGGCAGCCATTTGTGCACTTGATACACTCCCAATGCTAGCAGCAGCCTGTGGATTGTTTAAAACAAAAGGTAAGTAGGCATCACGCCGTGGAAGAAATAAAATAATAGCCCAAACTATATGCAATCATGACAAGCAAGAAGCAGTCTATGAACTATACTGGTAAACATGTATCAATCAGGATGAGGCAATGGCCATCATCTTGAGACTCCAGATACATGAAGAATATTTACTATTGACCACAACTTAAGCTACTGCAAAAATATATCAAATGAACTGAAAGGCATCATATAAGGAAACAGAGCTTCACGAGGCTGGAAGAGAACATACGTTGAAGTAATTAACCAGTGATTCTTCAGGTGTATCAGAAACTAGAGCAGTGGATGACAGCGGAGGTTCGAGGGGGCCATCTATAGCAGCAGATGTCGGAACAGCCTCCAGTTCTTCAAACTCACTGTTGCACATTAGAAGATACTACATAGGTAAATCCAATATATTGATCACAACAGAACTTAATGTGGACAAATATTGCCCAGTGGATCCAGAAAGTCCAACAAAAATACCTTTTTGTGGCAGGCACTTTTGGTTTTGGAGGCACTTTTGCATACGCATTCAGTATTCTGCAAGAAAATGTACCAAACAAAATTTGAGCAAAAGGGAAAAGCTTCTGTACTTACACAGGTCATACCAGAGTCTCCTATAATAACTCTGACCCTAATGTATCAAATGAGGATTATTTACTAGTAAAAAGGTACCCCTTGAGCCAACTGCAAGGTATTTTGATTTGAACCGGACAAAGTTTACAAGTTTTGACCATGGATTAGTCAAATTATATGCATGTCTAACATATATAAGTTGCACCAACAGATTTGTATACTACAAAAATGCACCTTAAAGGATGGACAGAGGGAGGACTAGTTAATAGCGACACCAATTGATGTGATTAAGTTAAGTCTTTGCAAGAAATCTTAAGTTATTCCCAATATCAAAGTTCTATCATACAGCATATGTATGTATTGAAAGAAATAAGCATATATATGTACTGAAAGAAATACACTATCACATGAATTTCCTCAACATTTTGTGTCATTTTGGAATTTCACTTGTTAGGACCAAAAGACAAATGCATTTATTTTCTTTTCAACCCCCTCCGGTTTTCTTTTGAGATGGGCATACCACCTGCTTTGAGGATTGGGGGAAAACTGATAGCTTGAATGGCATATAACAATATGCATTATTCTTGATTTACATATCAAATGTATTAACTCCTTCTAAATGAGTGAATACCTTACATAATAACTATTTATTCACGAATCAGTGAATGCACAGAAATTTTGTTTTTTTTTAGAGAGGCTTAAGATTGCAGTAAATGAAACTATAAAACTGAGTAGTGATCAATTTCCAGTTATGAAGTTACAGAAACACCCCCATCCCAAGTTAGGTCCTACAACCTGTATATACACACTATAGTTCCACCTAGAGAAACTGTCTTTTGTTGGCATTGTTCAGTCCTATCATAGATAGTTAAGACTGAAGATCCATCCCTTTTCTCGCGCGATAACAGTATATCCACTTTCGAGTTAAAGTTCACTTGAATTAGACATAACGGCTCTATACCCACCAGCATAAGTGGAACAAGAAAGAGAGAAGCTTTACCTTCCAAAAAGGCTTGCGACAGCTTCACAGTCATGTTGGTTATAAAACCAAATACCATTTACTTCTTGGGCAGCATTTCGGTACAACAAATATGGTGGCTGAAGTTCGTATTCAAAATCGCTTAATAGATCCTCCACCAGATTATCTGTTGAGAAGACACTAATAAGCTTTTCAAATGAGGAATCTGGCAGAATGATCAGTTTGCCTCTAAATGTACCACTTTAACAGCACAATATGAAGATTGAAGAACTTAGGGGAAAAAAAGGTGAGACGCTAAGCACTAACCCACAAAGAATTAAATATCATAATCACAGAGCTTCATTCTTATCATGCAGAATAAATAGAGTTCGGATTAAAGAATATCAGCATTCTGCTACTCAGAGGTCAAAGCACCTAGATCCCAGTACTGTTTTCTTTTGTTTTTGCCAAGAGTACACATCTCTGCGCTTAATGTTAACATCTACTTGCCAAAAAAGAAAGGAATTGATGCACAGGTATCTGGAGTACTTAATGAAAAGTTTCTCAAATGGATCAACTTTTTTAAAAAAAGAAAGAGTTACTTGCCCTATTCATTGTTGTCCCTAGTGCCATTTTGTCGCCTTTCCAATTTGTACAAATTTAACACCACAAAATAAAGAACTAAGAGATAGAGCTGAGGTGGTAAGTACTAGCCCACAAAAAATTAAAGATTATACTCAAGGTCAAAGCACCTAGATCCCAGTACACTTTTCTTTTGTTTTTGACAACAGTGCACATTTCTGTGCTGAAATGTTTACTTCTACTAGCTAAAAAGGAATTGATGTGCTGGTATCTGTCTATCTGGAGTAGTTATTAAAAAAGTTCCTCAAATGATCATTTATTAAATTTTTTAAGAGTTACTTGCCCTACGTCATTTTGTCGCCTTTCCTATTTGTACATGTTAAAAAAAGGGCGTACCCAGTGCAGAGAGCTCCCGCTCTGTGCGGGGTCTGGGGAAGGGTGTTAGTGGCAAGCCTTACCCTCGCCTGTGCAACGTGAGGAGACCGCGACTCGAACCCGGGACCTTCCGGTCACAGGCGGTAAGACTCTACCGCTTGCACCAGGCCCGCCCTTCGCCTATTTGTACATGTTAGTGGCAATGATTTTATGGCGTCACCTAGGCGTCGCCTAGTCGTCGCCTAGGCGTCCCGGCGGTTTCCCAAGCGAGGCGTCCCGCCCGCCACGCCTTCCCCGCGTATGGCGTCGCCTGGGGCGGTATGGCGTCGCGCGGGTAAGGCATCGCCTCGCAGCGTTCGCGCGGGAAAAAAGGGCGTGGCCCGATGCGCGCGCGCGGGAAAGGAGATGCGCGCGCGCCTGTACCCCCCGTGCGGGCACGCCCCATCCCTGCAGCACGCCAATTGAAAGAGAGGAGGAAAGAGAGGAGAGAGGGGGAAGAGAAGAGGGCGGCACCTGGAGTCCGTCCGCCGGCAGCCCGGCACCTGGAGTCCGCCCGCACCTAGAGTCCGCCTGCTGCCTGGAATCCGCCGAGGAGGAAGTCCTCCTTTGCTCTGCTCCTCTGCGCCTCCTCTGCTCTACTGTCTGCTCCTTTGCGACGCCCTCAACCCCTCAGGTATATGCATATCTCCTCTCCTCTGCTCCTCCTCTTCTTTGCTCTTCCTTTCACCTCCTTTGTGCTATATAGCCATAAGCCACGTGCTCAGTCAGTGACCTGTGTAGTGCCTAGTGACCTAGTGCCTAGTCATAAGCCATCTGCTAATAATTTTTTGCTACTTGCATGTGCCTACTTGATAGTTGATACTGTTGATCTTTGCATGCAGTACCAGCCAACAGGAAAGAATGGCTAGTCCGCCTTCTATCAACAATGGCGACTATGACCCAAAGACTGATAAAGCAAGGAAGGCCAAGTCAAATGATCCAGGCTGGAAGTATGGTTATTGGGCAAACCTTCAAAACCGAGATCAGGTGACATGTACCCTTTGTGATGTTGAGGTTTGTGGAGGGATAAAAAGGTTGAAGCAACATCTGGCAGGTGGCTATGGAGATGTCAAAATGTGTCTGAAGACGACTACTGCTATTAGAAAGGAGATGAGAGATTATCTGGAATCCAACAGGAGGAGAAGGCCATTGTTCTTAGAAGAGGGTGATGAACAGCAAGAGGAAGCAGATGTGGTGGTGCTGGAAGCAGGCACAGCTGAATTGACTGAAGTTGGAGAAAGTGCACCTGAAGGATCCCAAACCTCCAGGGTGCAGCCAAGTTCAGGGACTGCAGCCAAACAAAGGCGTCCAGCCTATTTGTTCAAGGCTCCTGCAGCAAAGAAGACCAAGGAAGTGCCAAAGGGGAATAAGTCAATTATTCAAATGCTTCGCCCAACACCTGAACAAAATAGTTGATCAAAGGCGTCAAGGCTGTTCTCAACCCACAATTCCAGCTAAGACTAAGTCCAAAGAGGAGAAGCATTACGTGGATATGCAGTGGGCATTGTGGTTTTATGAATGTGGCGTACCCTTTAATTCAGCAGCTGCACGACAGTTTCAGATTGCAATTGAGGCAACAGCACAGTTTGGTTCTGGGTATGTGCCACCTTCTCCCCACCTGCTTGGAGAACCATTGCTTAATGATGCTATGAAATTGACTAGCAATGGACCTTCAGGGCTGGTTGAAGAAGACTCAGGTTCAGCCAATGAAGAAGAGGAAGATGACCATGATTCACATGATGATGCTGATGTGAGCGATTGTGAGGATGCTCCAAGTGGCACCAATGGTGATGGAGAGAACGTGGATGCTACAAATGTCCATGATGAGTTTGATGATGGGTATTAGGAGTTGATTGCTTAGTTGGAATGTTTGTGTTAAGACTCTAGTTTATGTTTGTGGCTGTTATTTTGTTAAGACTCTAGTTTAATGTGGCTGTTATTCTGTTAAGACTCTAGTTTATGTTTGTGGAATGTTTGTAAACTGTAATGTGATGTGGAGTGTGGACTGCTATTATTTTGGGCTTGTGTCCTAGTGTTGCTGAATTTCTTATTGCATTTGCAGCTTGCTGCTTGGGAAAAGAAAAGAGACTTCAGATCATCAAAAGGTATTTCACTTGAATGTTTGATCCTCATTTCATTTCATTGATGATTACAAAGCATTTCTGTTACATTATTACATTCATCACATGTTGAAACCTGCAAGGGAATGCATGCTACTTGGAACAAGCCAACAAGGGCAACTGGAAAGTGGAGGATCAATGGTACATGTGCTCCAGAATTGGCAGCAAAAAGGTATGTATCAGTGTATGTTTGTGCTACCCTATTGTAGGTTAGGCTATGTGTATGGCGTCGCCTCGCCGAGTGCCTTATTCACCTTGGCGTCTCAAAGGGGGTGGGTCCCCGCGCATCGCCTTACCGCCGTAAGAACATTGGTTAGTGGTAGCATCACGGATGGTTTGTAAAACATAATGTTGGAAGATCCGATGTAGTCAATAATACGAGAAGCTGCAGCAGTCAGCCAATCAACGAAACCTTACATTTCTGAATTGCAGCAAAATTATTTAGTGCGCTGTAACATTTAGAGTTCTTATTAGGATGCCCTGAAGGAATGTTTAATCGTGATCCATACTCCATAGCCTAAAGGTCCCAATACACTTATGATGGATCCTACAAGCACAAAATGTACTAACCAGCACACAAGCTAACGACCAAAGCAACAGGCGAGGAAATCAGTGCAGATCGCAATGTGCTTACCAGTGTTGCGCCTGTTCATGACAATGAACTGGAACCTCGGCTGGGAGTTCCTACATGCGATCCAACAGGTTCCAGAAGCAATTAGATCACAGACGCACCGATGGAAACCCTAGAGTAGACCCCTCGATTCCCAGATCCCCGTGACTCACCTCTTAACGACGAACAGCGACCCTTCCACGTCCTTGCGGCTCTGCACAGCGCAAGCAAAAAACAAACCCCCGCATCAGATCGGGGTCGGATGGGATCAGAGGAGAGGGGGAGAATCGCTGGCTCACCCACTGGTTGAGGTCGATGTTGAAGTCGTAGAGCGTGACGTGCGCGGCGGTGATGAGGATGTCCTCGACGGCGGGGTCGAGGCGCTGGAGGACTGTGAGGTTGAGCATGCGCGTGGCCTCGGCGTCCATCGCCAGGTTCGGGGTCACCTTCCCCCCGTTCGCCTGCGGCGGCGGCGGCGGCGGCGGCATCGCTGGGCTGGGCTCGGTCTCCGCGTGTTGGGGTGGATCTGAGAGTGGGTCTAGCTCTAGCAGGGAGAGAGGAACTGGGGGAGCGAGTGAGCAGAGAGACGCAGCAGAGGAGGATGTCTCCGGAACAAAATTTACAGCACCGTACACGGGAGACCTCAGTCCTCACTCCTCGTGCGTCGATCGTGGATCAAGATGGCAACGGTACCCGAAACTCGAGTACCCAACGGTTTTTACCTGATAAGAAAGTGGGTATGGAAGACATTTTATACCCACGGATATGTTATTGGACGAATTCTTGTACCCATCGGGTATGTGGGTATAGATGTAGGTGTATACTACCCATACTCGCATACCCGCGGGTAAAAAAACCCACATAAATAATATCCAACCTCTGCAATTTTAGCTCATATAAGCATATAACTCATATTTGGCCCATATAAGCATATGAGTATATATATTTCAGAACTCTCTCAAACCCTAATCCTCATCCTCACTCTACTCCACCAGCCCATATTTCTGTTTTGCTGATCTATTGTTGATTTGTTTTGCTGGAAGCTATTATATTTTGGTGTGTGAACTCGGGTATATTGTCGGGTAAGAATTACCCGTTGGGTAAGAATTACCCGTCGGGTGCGGGTATGGAATGAATTTTCTACCCGCTGCGGGTACGGGTAACCCGACGGATAAGATTTTGATCTGGCGGATGCGGGTACGGGTGGCCAGTACCCATCGGGTACGTACCCGTTGCCATCTTGAATCCTAGATAGACGTGGCAATGGATTAGTAAATCCAAAACAAATCCAATTAAAATTAGAAGAAAAAACATTCAGGTCTAATCTAACTCCAATATAAAATGACTAATGTCCAATCCGACATAATTTAATTGCGTTTGAGTCCAAATTCATCTAATATATCCAATAATAACAAAATTAGTGTAAGTACATGTTAATCCAATGTCAAAAGGTAGACGCTAAAACTAAAAAAACCCGTGTCCACAACTTAAATTTTAGCACAATTGACTAAAAACTTGTTGGAGATCACTCAATACAATTGCTTCCTACTTTATGCAAACTAGCAAGCATGTCCATGTTGCAACGGGGCTAAGTATATATGTAGGAATCAAACTTTGTATCATCGTTGGATGCGAGTTGTTCTAACTCATACGAGCACATGGCATGAGTTCAGGAAATACACGGGATACGTATGTAGGACAGGACCCAATACGTATTTGTCGGTGCTTTGTAAACCGGACTAGTAAACTTATACGATTGTCGCGCTGCACTAGGAAGACGATGGTAGTATCCAATAGACACGAGGATTTATACTGGTTTAGGCCGGAACCCTACGTCCAGTCTCAGAGATGATCGAGTGCGTGTTCCTCGCTTGAATGCTCTGAAGTTCTTACAATGGGGGTACAAGAAAGGTGGAAGAGATGGAAGGACATATGCTAGGCGAAGGGCTACCCAAAGAAAAGCTCCAGGAGCCCTACTACAATAGTGAATGAATGGAATGGTAGAGGATGTAAATCGTCCCCCGAGATAGGTGCCCTGGTTGCCCTTATATAGAGTTCGGGTCCAGGGCTTGTACAAAGAGGAGTTTCTCCCGATCGAAGGGTCGAGAGCCTAAGGGAGGGCCTAGCTAACTTGATTTGCAAGCTACGCCATCTTCTAGTGCACGTCCGGTCATGGCTATCGTCATGGTCTTCTGGCCATGTTGCGACAGGATGTGACATGGCGCTACCGTGCCGGTCGTGGTGGCACTATAGCCTCGATGGCGGTTCATCAGCTGTCCTATGCAACGCTGTGTCCGTCGTGGCCTTCATCATCGTCTCCTGGTTCCTAGGGGTGTCGTACCCAAAGTAGGTAGCTGCACGAGGTCATCGATCGCTTGGTCGCTTTGCGGGGCCGAGGGCCATGACTCCGATCATCGGGGTCGAGGCACTCTACCGATCTAGATGGCCTTTTCGTAGAGCCCCTTATCGTGTATCCCCATCCCATAATGGGTGGGATCGTACAAGCGTCTAGTCGGTCCGTATTTGGACGGTGGGTGTCGTACCCGTTGTCACCGTGGTGTGGTGTTGTCTCGTCGGTGCGGCATGGCACAGGGACGATGTCTGACCAGGTCGAGGTGACTGTCGTCCCCTCGATCCTTGCGGGGTCAGTGCAGCATGCTTGCTCTTGTCAAAGCAGGTGCGCCTAGCTACGCTCGGCCTCCCCCCATCCCTCCTAGGAGTCCTGACGGGGAGAGGTCATACGTCTTGCGAGCGCTGTGTGCTAAGGCGGATGAAAGGGGTCGGGGATGAACCCGGCCTTGGCACCTTGCCCGCTCCACTCGGCTTTCACTAGGCCTCGGTTGTTCGGGCCTTTGTTAGCCATTGTGTTGCGGACCGCGTGGCCTGCTAACTAATCGGTGCCTTGATACACCCCAGGGTTATAACCCTGACAGTAGCCCCTGAGCGTTTTTGCGATCATGAAGTGATCGTGAAAGCGCTGGTATGCACGTGCATTAGGGCGCGGGCTCGTGATCGTGGCTTTTCTGAGCTTCACCGCTCGACCCCTTGCGGGCTTGGCGTATTCAGGGCGGTAGGTGGACGTTGCGCCCTGTTCCATCGTATCGAAGTGGTACGTGATTGCTGAGCCTCGCCGTGTCAGTGTACCGCTCATTAGGGTCCGTGACCTCTCGTGGTTCGCCATGCGGTGAGGGGGTCTCGAGCTGCTCTGTTCTCCCTGGGCCCCCCGCTGTTTGAATCATACATTGTTGTGTCTACAAATCGTCTCCCACCTTCCTGCTGAGAGAAAGCAAATGGGAGAGAAAAGCTCAGGGGGGACCACGTGGCTCCCGTCGGGTGTTCCTTTCGGGGTCTCCTACAGTGGCTGGACCCGGCGTCGCCCTTCCAACAATTGGTGCTAGAAGGGATTTTGCGAGTAGGGAAGGACCGGGGTGGTGCTCAGGCTAACCATAGGGTATTGTGATTCGAGCATTTACCTAGACCCGTAGGTCTCAGGTTGCCGGAGCACGAGAACCAAGGACAATTTCTAGTTTCTCCCCATACTTGTAGACGGCTTTGGAAAGCCACCTTAAGTTCGGGGGAGGCATTGCCGTCCCGTGGTGTCCCCTTCATGCTTTTCGAAGCATGATGGTGGTGGCCTAAGGGCTTGTTCCCACCCCATTCTTTCTTCCCTATGCGCCCCTGCTTGTAAGGCTGGGGTGCTACGGGGTAGAGTGGGAGGCGATTTCTCACCTCTTTTCCTCCCGCACTTGTAGCAGGCGCCTCCGGGGCCCCCGATAATGCTGCCCTTGCAACGATGTCGTGGTTCCATGCGTCTCAAGTGGCTCGATCGCTCTTGTACTACCCGAAGTTGGGTGAAACAAACGACCCTTTCTGTACATTCCCTTTGCGCCCGTGGTGAGCCCCCGGGTCACGAGATCAGGGTCGTGGTTTTCGGTTTGACACGAGAAAGTGTTTTCTTGACCTCTTCCTTCGTGGTCGTGAGGTTTTTTATGAACGTCCATTTGGCTCATAGGTCTTGGACCTCCGGGGTTTTTTCGTGTGACTGAGCCGTGATCATGCTTTGAGCCACACGTTGCTTCTCGAGGAAGATTATATCGTGCTTCCCTGGCCATCTGCTTCGTCGTCCTCTCCCAGATGGGTCGTAGACCCTTGGCGGTTTATGAGTCTCCAAAGCTAGCCTTAGGTCTGAGACCTAGGACACAGGGAAGAGTTGGGTGGGATTTGTCCCTGGTCTTTTAGGGGTCACGGGGACCCGTCTCCATCTTTCCCTGACATCCTTGCCAACCTCGAGGGGTCGCGATGAGTTGTTACAGGCGAGTTTGGTTTCGCCCCACGCGAGGATAGGCATGTCCACCATAACCACGCGGTCAGAGCAGGGCGCCTCGTCGAGGTCTATGGGTAATTCAAGTGGGACCCTATATCCTCCCCAATCGACGTGGAGTTTGGCTATGCCTCACGTGAGACGTCCCATAAATCATCGGCCATTAATCTCATTGGTCCCCAACCGCCTCCGCAGCGACCAGAGAGCAAGATGCCTCCCTCTAGAGGGGGTCAACCCGGGAGACTTTGAAGCGGACGTCTCTAACATAGGGAGAGATGGTCATGTGGCTCCGCACCACCGATTAGAGCCACGGGGGCCAATCTCCTCCTTGCCCCTATCCCTTTTGTGTCCTCGAGCCCTTCTAAGGGCCGGCCCAAGAAAAGGTTTCCAAAGCACGACGCAGGGTCATGGATGCGGAGGGTCGCTCAGCGTGTGAACCTGGGGGGTTGTCGACCTCCCCTAGCCATGTTGTGTCTTGGCGGTGCCCTCTTGTAAATGGTTGTGCGCCATAAAACATGGGCGCGTGAATCGAAAGATAATGAAAGATATGAGGCTTACTCGGGATATGCTACCGTGTTGGCGTCCATCGCTCGGCCTTTCATCTCACCGCCTCCCCTGCGCAACGAGAAAGCGATTAATAAATACGATTGGACTCGCGAGTACTCCATGAACCTATGGTGGCTATAAAGTTGTCGGGTGGTACGACTGGTGAGGTGTTCGTCTCGGGTCGCCTGCCCTATTGCTCGCTCATCTTCCCTTCGCGTGTCCATAATTTTGGTCTCTGGGGTCGTCGGTATGGGTCATGGTAAGCGCTCTTGGAAGGAGTCGTTGAAGGGCGGTAGGCTGCCTCCATGTCTTCGAGTCTTTCTACAAGAGCAGGGGTGAGTTCGAGGTCGATGTTTAGAGGTCGGGATTTTACCGGGGCTGATCGTGTTGCTTCTAGGGCCGCATTCCCCGCCGCATCAAGAGGGGCCGTTGGTGCTGCTTACGGTGCGACCCCGTTGGAGGCGGGGTCGAACTCACCATCCTTGTCGTCGTCGTCTTCTTTGTTCGATCAACGTGAGTTCTGTGAGGTCTGCCGTGTGGTAGAGGAGGCCCACGAGCGCTACCTCAACTTCGCCCGTGAGGTCAACCGGTTGGAGGGACGCCTTGGTGCCATTGAGGTAG